GAAAGAAAGAAAGAAAGAAAGAAAGAAAGAAAGAAAGAAAGAAAGAAAGAAAGAAAGAAAGAAAGAAAGAAAAATTAAAGTTAAGGTGAGTCTGCTGGCCATGTCCACTGCCTAGCACCTGCTGTCGGAAATCATTAGCCGAGGATGGAACAGGAACAGATTAACCAGGGCCAGGGCCAACTGATCAAAGTGTAACCATCCATGGAGAGCATAGGCTTATGGAGTGAGGTGGTAAACTTACTGACATACTGAGGGAAAAAATAGGTACGTTATACTTCTGCCACCTAATCAAAGTTTAGTCTGTTACAGAAATGATACAGATACAAATGTGCAGAGAAAAGGAAAGACTGAGCTCTCCAAATGAGGTCATGTGTTTAGAGTGAGACGATACACTCACTCTTAGCTTGTAAAAACCTTTGCTGTCCTTTATGGGCTGTACTTAGCAGTGCCTACCTGTTTCAAGTCGGGCCATTCCTTTGGTAAAATGTGACTGTGAATATCAATCTTCATCTTTCTGTTTACTCTCAGGGAAATGTGGAGGTCTGCAGCTCAAGATACTTTGCAATAACTGTGGTTCAACTCACCTCCGCCCTGCAACACAAACCAATGACCGTCAGGTGAATAGCTGCTGCTGGGTCACCCTGGTCATTTATTATCTATTCTGGCAATAAAACAAGCAATGGCTCAAAACATTAGTATGACTAAACTGAGTGCTGTTGCAAAACATATTTAACAGAGGGATATGTTGGGTTGACATTTGTAAGTCTTAATAGGAACTGCGATTATCTTTAGATAGTTTTTGAGAAATGATTGTTTTACCATGGGAGGTGACGTTTAAGGTCTCAGTTTTGCACTTAAGACCATAAAATCAGTTCAAGGCCTATATACATTTCGTAATTGTTTGCATTTACCAGCAGATGTCTATTGGATTAAACCCAGCGTATCTAGCCCCTGTAATGCTAGATTACAATTTAATGGACTTTTTTATGGAATTTCTTAATTTATCATGGCCAATCTTTGCTTGGCTGATCAAAAATTATACACTACCACTGATAAAAATATTTTACTATATACTATATTTAACTTCAGGCTACTGCTTACTGAGAAGTAAGTTGGAAGTTGGAATTCCTACTTTATTAATTCAGCAACTCACACATTGTTCAGTCATTTTTTGCAATTTCATTTGTTTGATGATGCGATTTCACCGCATCATAAATAGATGATGAAAACAGCATTTCATTTGATTATTCACAATGCAATGAAAAGACTATTAATTAACCCTTTTGACCATGTTACAGAGGAACTCATGAGGTTGAAGTATGGCCGTGAGGTTGCTTGTATTGATTACGATTACTGTGATTACTAATGACATCCCAAAATAATACCCTTTCCAATATTCATTTAAGTTGTGTTCCAAAGATTCTCAAATACTGTTACCTGTTTTAATTTATTGCTCCAATCTGTACTTAAAAAGAAATAGCAACAATTATTGTGACTGGCACTCATATCGACTATTATCATCTATTGCTCATGTCTCACCTTCTACCAAAAGTCCAAAAGTTTGGATTGGTGCCTTTTTGCTGATATTGCTGGAAGTGACATCCAATGAACACTTTCCTTAAACTTGCTAACCCATAACCCACAGTTTGAAAGGTGGATGAATAAATCAATCAAGTACTTTCAGAAAAGTTCACCAATTTGGGGTTTTGCTGTATGTGTCACAGGTCTGACAGCAATTTGAATCCACTTGCCTATGTGATTTAAACAGCTGCCTCATTTCTACTTACTTTTCTGACATCCAAGCATTTATTTCAACTCTATTTTCATCATTGTAATTGTATTAGGATTTCTTCTTGGTTCAATAGTTGCTGCTGGAATGTTAGAGATGAAACTGTACATTGAATTGAATTGAATATACTTTATTGATCTCCAGGGAGAAATTGACTTCCAGTACAGCCCGTACCAAGATCAAACAAACAAAACACATAGACACACCAGTTCGGGAAGACTGAGGGCAGCCACACAGGAGGGCGCACCAATTTTTCTTCAGAACAAAAAGAATACATTGGGGAAGCGGTTGCGGGAAGAGGGGAAAAAAGGCCCAGTGCCACGCCCCCTACAGGGGACGTAACAGTGATATAAAAAAACACCTCAGTACACTTAAGCACAGATACCGTCAATCACAACAACAAGGACACATAGGGAGGGAGGGATGGGGGGTTGGAGGGAAGGGGAAAGGTAACAACGAGGCAGTGAGTCCAAGGAATGCATGAAGTCTGTAATTGTGTGTGTGTAAGTGTAAGCAAGCTGGAGTCAACATCCACAGGCAGGATGGAATTTGTCCTTGTGATGCCCATACTCCTGCTTGGGAGGAGGGAGGGGGGTGGGGTGGGCAAAGCGTCAGTCTGCAGTTTCATCCAGGGCAAAGTTGTAGAATAGCAGCTGCAAGGCCGCTCTCGGGAGGCCAGATTGAGATAAGAGAGATAGCTTTGTTCCAGACAGAGCGTGTTTTGTCTGCCTTAAGTCCTCAGCAGGTCTCTCAATGGCGATCCAATTCAGCCGAATTGTGTTAATTTCCATCCATCCGAACCACCACCTTCTCCAAGGTGTTCCCCATCACCCTCATGCTGTCACACATCGTCCCCATATTGCTCCTAAGAGCCTCCTGTTTGCTCCACTGAGTCCCCAGTTCACTCACCAGAGCATCATGTTTGCGAGACAACTCGCACAAGGTTTGAGTCAGAGTGTTGATGCTCCGGTAAACCGGCTCGACAGGCAGCCCGCCATCAGTTGCCCTCAGCCTCCGAATTTCTTGAAAACGTAGGTATCCCCCAACTCCAATCAGCAGGAACCCGGTTATCATGAATCCAAATAGGTATGTCCTCGACGTCCTTGAGAACTGAGAGGCATAAAACCCTCCAGCTCCTCCAGGCATCCATCGTGAAACCCGCTGGGTGAGTCCCGGCTGGACAAGTTGCAGCCCCAGCAGCTTGTCTTTGGGTAAAGATTTTGTCAATTGCGTTGAGAGACCAGCCGACCAAATCCATGGTTGATGTTAGGCTTTAGGAAGTGAAAATGCAGAAAGATGCTCTGAGATACGACAGGACAAAGATAGCAAGCAGGCAAAAAGGGCAGGGGGAGGGAGCAGAGAGAAACACGTCTGCACTCGCCGAGAGCCGGAAGAAGATGGCTGACAGAGAACGGCCAAGGTTAACCTGACTTTACGAATGCATCCTGGTAATCAAAACAATCATGCCACAGCTTTAGCATCATAGGCTCGGTTTTCTCTTCTCTTCTGCAGTCCCTCATTTCTCCCAAGAGTAGGGAAAAAACAAGAACAACTACAAAAGTATCTGAAATCTTAAAAAGAAGCAAAAAAGACAGTTACACTTGATGTTAAACTTTATAAATCGTGTTTGTAAAAAACATGATGTGTAACTGTAACTGTTCAAGTAATCTCATTACAAGTTTCTGACAATTGTTCAACAAATTGTACAACTGTTTAATTGTCCTTCAATTTTCTCCAGTAATATTTCCTTATCTTGACAGTACAGTAATTTTAGCTTAATATAAAAACATGTACGTAATTAAATATTTTCTCTTTTTAGTTACTATATATTTTCAAAAGTATGGATATGATTACTTGATTAATTTATCATACTTATCAATAGAATATCTGATTACGTATATAATTGTGAGCTGCACCAATGACTCTCATTATGTGTTTTTTTAATGCCTGAATTGGAAAAAAGAATTGTCCAAGAGTTGGACGTGAGGAAAAAAACTTCCCATTTCAACAGTTCTGCTCAGGCTTGGCTGCTTAAAGTTTGCAAACACTTCCTTAAAACCTCAATATTCCATGATTCCATGATTTCATGACCATGTAAATTAGTGACAACCAACAACATAGATGAAAAAATTGAATCATCACAACCCATCTGGATTCATATGTGTTTCTATCTGTTAAACATGTGACCAAGCTCAAATAACTGTGAATAGAATTTGAACATTTGGAACAGTAGCTGTTTTCAAGTAAAAAATGTGATGATAATAGGAATTGAGTAGAGGTCTATCTTAAAGAACATTACAAGTAATAAATGACGTCCCTCAGGGTCATTTAACTTCTTTCCAAGTGCACAATTTAACGCATTCATGATGCTGGGGATGTATGCTGTCAAACGTCCACAGGTTTTAATCCCAGCCCATGTCAAGCCCATAAAATTGTAGGAAAATAACACAAAATAATCTTTACCATTGAAACACTGCTTTCTATTTAAACTTGAGGAGCCACAATTTAGAATTTCAACTGTTCAGTATTTAGGCTATAAACATGAGGCTTGCCAAAACTGCATTCTCTCTTCATTCAGGTGCCCAGAAATAGGCAACTTTACAGGGTTTATATTCTGAGCACAAGTGAGGAACATTCAAGGATAGGAGTGTATGTTAATACAAAGCAGTTATGAAGATCTACCATTAAATTATGACCAATTATTCAACTTATACTGTGCAGGTCCTCATGTATGTAGGTCTGTGCACACCAGTCAGAAATCCTGAGGGCACATGACAGTAGCAGTGGATCCTTCAGATTGATGGGTAGTCTTTGTTGACTGGGAAGATCCCATCAGATTAGTGCCTTGACATTTACAAGTCCATTCAGAATCCATGTTGTGTTCCTAAAAAAATGTCTAATTGTTTTTTGTGCGTGTTCATGTGTACAGATAGTGTTGTGAATTTCCTCTCATGTTCTCTCTGGCTCTCTCTGCCCCATTTCTTGTCAACCTATTTGTATAAAGTCTACTAGTGTCCAAAAAGGTATCAGTTTAATCGAAAAGATAATGCATTTCCTTAACCATTCGGATCTTAACATTTCGAAAACATATTTGCAGAGCCCAATGTCTACAAAGCGCTATGACGTAAACATGTATTTGTGCTGACAAAGGAAAAATTTGTATTTATTTAAGGATGCCATGCAGTGCTTTCACAGTACAGAATATCTTTTGTTGTTTGTCAAACGCATTTCACACGTTTCTTTTTTGTTGAATATTGTTTTTATCAGTTATAGTTGCAGAAAAATTACTGAAAGAAGCCAGGAGCATTTAATTTTGAATTTCTAACTTGCAGTCGCTGGTGAATTATATGTTGATAATGATGCTGTTTCACTGGAACTGGATTTCAGTTTAGAGTTGAAAGTGACTGACTATCAAGAATTTCACTTTTCATTTATTCTGCTTATGTAAATTGTAGTCCATTTCCTTACGCGCGCACACCTGTATAAATATACCTCTCACACAAGAGTTGTGTGAGAGGTACATTGTTTTGCATGTTTTACGTACACAATTATGCTAATTTATAGAGAAACAGACGTTGGGTAACTCGGGATTGTAGGGGCTGCATGAGGTTCTTCCATCTGGGAATTAGATGCTGAGTTATGAGAGGAGGGGAAAACAAGAAAGGGGAGGAGGGGGGAGAAAACTTGCTAGCACCGCCCGTCAGATTCGCGGCCGATCTCAGATTTATCACTTCGTCGGATCTAACCCTAAATAGTATCCGTCTATTTCTATCGACAATTTGTAGATTTTATATCTCAGGGAGGGAGTTTCTTT